AGCATGAAGTTAAATTACGACCGATACGTTTCCAAAATGCAAAGAAAAGACCCCCCGCCCCCCTCTGACTAACGTGCCTGAACTACAAATACTCATTAATCTTTCGATTTAAATTTCGAACAAATTTTACAAGAATTCAAAACGCCTTAACACAAATGCAAGTACTGAAAATACAATATGGCCGTCGTATCTACACCATAAAAGATGTATCTAACAAAAGAAGTCACAATCAATTGAATGGATAAGCGGGGATTGTAGGTGTCGATTTTATTGTGAGCTCCCCGGCTTCAGACAGCTAATACCATACTACGATACGACTTAAGTTCTGGCCTGTCATTTTGTTGGGTATTGTTGATTTACCGCCGTCTCTATGGGATCTTGTTTATTTTTTAAATTGCATTCGAATTTCAAATAATAGTGATTCGATTATTTCTTTTAATACGTTCTTTTTCGTAGAAGTTGGTGAGGCGTTTTAACACAACAGATCACTTTTGTATGATCTGAGGTTCAATTCCCGCTCAATACCCAAAATGGTATTTTAGTATTTCTAATTATAGTACTTAGTACCTAGTTATATCTACTTTGAAATTAGTTGGCAGTGTGATACTGTAGTGTTAATTACGTATTATTTTGTTTTTCTATCTAAGACAGTGTAAAAGACGATAATAAATGGATTGTAAGTTCAGGTATGACGGCCGATAGGGATCAGCAGAAGATGACATACTGCGCTCCAAATAATGGGATAAAGGCAAGGCAACGATGATTTGTTTCTCTCTGAAGAAATCACTGATAACACCGTTGTTTGATTAATGTAGTCAAGTAAATAATGATGGGTGGTCATACAGTACAATATCAAGTTGCGAGGGCTCGCCAAACGGTCAGTTCCGGTTATTATCGGAATATATCGAATGCTTTGATAATAATAGAACAACAAAAAAATTGACAAATTTCTCATAAACAAATAAACAATGGCGAATAGAGATTGAATCTCGTGTATTCCGGAAATCCGGACAATACATGCCCGCAGTCCTCTACTATGGTATGGTACAAGTTATGAGGGATTTACTACTAAAACAGAAACATGGTTTAAATTCCCGATAACTTATGGGCTGTACTACGGCTACAAAAATTTAATATGTTTAGGTTTTCAACACAATACTTTTGCGTTGCTAGATTACAACTCTAGATTAGAGGTCGTCGTATCGATTTACAGTAAGTTTTCTGGGTATGTAATAGTAGAAATTACGTAATTATAGGGTATTTATTGTTAATAATACCATATGTACTCCTATACCTACACATTATAGTAACAAATTCATCATCGACAGACTGTATTCGGTCTATATAATCAAATCATTTGATTTGGCCTTAATAACATGACGTTCTATTAAGTTGTTGTAAGCCTAAACACATACCGCGACCGCCTTTCACGAAGTTTTTTTTATAACACAGGGGACAAACGAACACGCGGTTCACCTGTTGATTACCGCCGCCCATGAGCACCCGCAACATCAGGGGAATCCCGCGACTGCCTGTCATAACACATACGGGGGGCGTCCATACCTCACATTGTCCCAGCGCTCTGTAGAAACCATATTTCCTAATAGCCTAAATACATTCCGCGAACGCCTGTCACTTAAACCCCGCGTAGTGACGCAACATAACACATACGGGGGCCGTCCATACCTCACATTGTCCCAGCGCTCTGCAGAAACCATATTTCCTAATAGCCTAAATACATTCCGCGACCGCCTGTCACTTAAACCCCGCGTAGTGACGCAACATAACACATACAGGGGACGTCCATACCTCACATTGTCCCAACGCTCTGCAGAAACCATATTTCTTAATAGCCAAAATTCATTCCGCGACCGCCTGTCACTTAAACCCCGCGTAGTGACGCAACATAACACATACAGGGGACGTCCATATCTCACATTGTCCCAGCGCTCTGCAGAAACCATATTTCCTAATAGTCTAAATACATTCCGCGACCGCCTGTCACTTAAACCCTGTGTAGTGACGCAACATATCACATACAGGGGACGCCCATATCTCACATTGCCCCAGCGCTCTGCAGAAACCATATTTCCTAATAGTCTAAATACATTCCGCGACCGCCTGTCACTTAAACCCCGCGTAGTGACGCAACATAACACATACAGGGGACGTCCATATCTCACATTGCCCCAGCGCTCTGCAGAAACCATATTTCCTAATAGCCTAAATACATTCCGTGACCGCCTGTCACTTAAACCCCGCGTAGTGACGCAACATAACACATACAGGGGACGTCCATACCTCACATTGTCCCAACGCTCTGCAGAAACCATATTTCTTAATAGCCAAAATTCATTCCGCGACCGCCTGTCACTTAAACCCCGCGTAGTGACGCAACATAACACATACAGGGGACGTCCATATCTCACATTGCCCCAGCGCTCTGCAGAAACCATATTTCCTAATAGCCTAAATACATTCCGCGACCGCCTGTCACTTAAACCCCGCGTAGTGACGCAACATAACACATACAGGGGACGTCCATATCTCACATTGCCCCAGCGCTCTGCAGAAACCATATTTCCTAATAGTCTAAATACATTCCGCGACCGCCTGTCACTTAAACCCCGCGTAGTGACGCAACATATCACATGCAGGGGACGTCCATGTCTCACATTGCCCCAGCGCTCTGCAGAAACCATATTTCCTAATAGTCTAAATACATTCCGCGACCGCCTGTCACTTAAACCCCGCGTAGTGACGCAACATAACACATACAGGGGACGTCCATATCTCACATTGCCCCAGCGCTCTGCAGAAACCATATTTCCTAATAGCCTAAATACATTCCGCGACCGCCTGTCACTTAAACCCCGCGTAGTGACGCAACATAACACATACAGGGGACGTCCATATCTCACATTGCCCCAGCGCTCTGCAGAAACCATATTTCCTAATAGTCTAAATACATTCCGCGACCGCCTGTCACTTAAACCCCGCGTAGTGACGCAACATATCACATGCAGGGGACGTCCATGTCTCACATTGTCCCAGCGCTCTGCAGAAACCATATTTCCTAATAGTCTAAATACATTCCGCGACCGCCTGTCACTTAAACCCCGCGTAGTGACGTAACATAACACATACGGGGGCCGTCCATATCTCACATTGTCCCAGTGGTCTGCAGAAACCATATTTCCTAATAGTCTAAATACATTCCGCGACCGCCTGTCACTTAAACCCCGCGTAGTGACGCAACATATCACATGCAGGGGACGTCCATGTCTCACATTGTCCCAGCGCTCTGCAGAAACCATATTTCCTAATAGTCTAAATACATTCCGCGACCGCCTGTCACTTAAACCCCGCGTAGTGACGCAACATATCACATGCAGGGGACGTCCATACCTCACATTGCCCCAGCGCTCTGCAGAAACAGTATTTCCTAATAGAATTGGTTGTGCATCAAAAATGCTTCCGGTCGCACGCATCCCGAACGTTACCAGCTTCTTTTCTTTATACCTATCGTTCAGAAATCATCGTGTTACTGTTTCCGGTATTGCCAATTTGAAGATAAAAGATATCAAAGATCGCTGTTGTGCTATTTCTATTCTATAAAAAAACGATTGTTAACATCATTGACATAGAGTATATTATTCTCTGACACTTATATTTATAACTAGCCGTTCACCGAGACTTCGTGCGCGTGGAATTTAACTTTATTTTTCTAAAACAAAAGTAGCTTATGTTACTCCTTATCACATCAGCTACCTGCAAAAAATGTCCCGTCAAAATCGGTCAAGCCATTTCAGAGATTACCCGAACAATCAAACAGACAGACTAAAATAGTAAAAAAAAAATATTTTGGTGTATGTACCGTATTAACGGTTATTTCAATATTACAAACAGACACATCAATTTTATTTGTATGTATAGATTATTTTTATGCAAACCTATGAAAACTTACCAGGATGACAATGATATTACAGTGTTACAACTAAGTACTCGGTGGTCTAGTGGTTTAGCACATCCCTTTGCTTACGATGGTCGCAGGTGCGATTCCTCGCTCGGTTCAGACGGTTTTTATTATATGTGTATTTACAACAAATATATATCCAAGTATTTATATTAGTTATAACTAATATATAGTTGCCTAGTACTCATATCGCAAGCTCTGCTTAGCTTGGAACTAGACTGCTGCGTGAATTGTCCAGGCTTACTATTACAAACAAGCGACTGCTGTTACTTAAATATCATGTCCAGATACCCATAAATAAAGTAAGTGAGGCCATGATCCATCGGGCTAGCGGTATGGAGGCGATAGTGATCGTAGGAGCGAACGTACCATGCCCTAATACCGGTAATGGGAGTCTACGTTCGATTTTCCGAGTCGTTTGCTCCGAACGCGCCAGATAACGAGAAACGTTGCGAATATCGCTTTATAGAGTTATTCTACGATTTATCATAGAAATAGATGATATTGAAATTTATATATCTACTTGACGGCCTCGATAGTGTAGTGGTTAGCACACAGGTTTTCTTCCGACGTTAGCGGCTTCGATTCCTATATAAACATTTGTATTCATGAGTATGATGTTTGTATCGGTCTGGGTATTTTCTATATATATTATATATATATTTACAAAAAAATATCTTTGTGTTAATATCAGTTGTCTTAGTACCAGTACAAGCTCTGCTTAATTTGGGGCTAAATGGCGTTGCTTGAATTGTCTTGGGTTATTATTATTATATATTTATATATTTTCATACGTATCGACAAATAGGCAAAATCACGGAATACTTCTTAAGTTTTACTTATTTTTTATTGAGAGATTGATATTCGTCTACCTTCACACGTTTTCTTTTGCTGCAACTATTACAACAGTATGTATATTTTCTATTTATCAATTAAAAGTATACAATTTTATTTAAATGTTTTATGTGTATACTCACATTATTTATGTTTATACTCTAAATAGATATTTTATAGTGTAACATACCAGGAAAGATTACTGTGAAACGAGAAGATCATCCCCGCTGTATCTGGAACAAATGAAGTCAGTTTGTTAGTTAAGAAATCCATACGCATTTTTTTAGCTAAAATTAATACAACGACTTAATATTACTAGAATATTATGGATTATAATGGAATGGTGCGTCTGCCTACGATAACGGTTTACGCTGGCGGGGCACCAGTGGAGGATGTTAAGATCAACATGAGGTCAGGTCAGTGAAGTACAGTCCACATTCCATAAAGATCTCCCTCCTGCTGATAAGCGGGAATCTTCGCGTATAAACATGAACAGCACTACTGGTATCACGTTATCCTGTAACACCCATCCTGTAATTTCATTGCGTAAAGCAAGCCTACAACCAAAATACATTGGGGGAAGGGTTTAGTAGTTTACTTTAGTAATGTGGACTTATAATCCCATTGCTAACAAATGTATCATGGCAGGTTAAACTCCACGAGGTTATCCCTGGAAACCATTGTGATAAATTGCTGGTGAAATCGTCACGGTGCGTTAACTGACCTGACCTCATGCTCAGATGAGCATGAGGTACGCTGGCGGGGCAGCAGTGGAGGATGATAAGAATATCACTAGTAAATTCACCATGAATTTATCACGCTGGTTTCCAGGATCCGGTTTACGCTGGCGGGACACCAGTGGAGGATGTTAAGATGAACATGAGGTCAGGTCAGTTAGCCTATCGTAGTAAATTCACCATGAATTTATCACGCTGGTTTCCAGGACCCGGTTTACGCTGGCGGGGCACCAGTTGAGGATGTTATGATGAACATGAGGTCAGGTCAGTTAGCCCATCGTGGTAAATTTACCATGAATTTATCATGCTGGTTTGCAGGGGGAACTACATGGAGGTCAACCTGATATGGTACATTGGTAGCAATAAGGTTATTAGTCCACATTACTAACAATCCCTTTCCTTGCTTACTGGAATATCCAGCTGTGGAGTATCGTTGACATTTAGGAGTCATCTATGACGTATATATATATATATAACATAAATATCTATATATACATATATAAAGGCCGACAACTTGTAACCAACTTGTACTTGCAATTCCCCTGGTGTTGCGGGTGCTCATGGGCGGCGGTAATCACTTACCATCAGGTGAGCCTCATGCTTGTTTGTCCCCTGTGTTATAAAAAAAATCTATATATCTAGTACCTACCCATAACACAAGCTCTGCTTAATTTAGGACCAGATGGCGTTGTGTGATTTGTCCTGAGATATTATTACTATAAATTTCTTCTATAGATAGAAATATAAATAAACAAGAAAGAATAGCCGCCTTCATCATTACAAACACTTAGTATGACATCATCGAGTACTAAGCAAACAATGGTAAAGGCATTACAAATAGGTTCCCGAGATAGCAGTCGAGTGGGCGTAAGCAACTAAGCAGTAACTCGAGAATAATGCTTTGTGTATCTACAGGATGCTGGAGTGGTTCGGCGGTTTGTACGAAATAAGATTGTTCCGATTTTGGTACTTATACTGATATTTGACATTATTAATCAAATCTAATCAGAAATAATTCATTTTATAATAGCTATACTCGCGGTTTCAACCGCGTTAAATTTAATATAAAATATAGCCTATGTGTTATTCAGATGCATAAGCTCTATTATTGTAGAGTTTCATCAAAATCTGTTCAGTAGTTTTTGCGTGAAAGAGAAGAAACATCCATACTCACAAACTTTCGCGTTTATAATAGTATTATGTATTAAGATTAAGTTAGAAAACTTGACATTGACTTGACTTGAATGTCAAGTTTTTAAGTTTATTTGTTACTAGCTGTTTTCGCGGCTTCGTCCGCCTGGAATTTACCTTTAGTTTTCTATAATAAAGATTTTTTATAAAATAAAAGTAGCCTAAGTTAAAATAAAAAAAAGTCCCGTCAAAATCGGTCCTTTTCTGAGATTAGCCAGAACAAACAGACCGACAGACAGTACGGTTATTTCAATATTACAAACAGACACAATTTTATTTATATGTATAGATAATAGGAAAAAAATATTTTTATCCTATTATAATAAATAATAATAACTCACCTGATATAAGTGATAATCATCGTACATACATACTTTAAATTGGTATTGTTAACCATATGTGATGTACATACCTAATAATAATAATAATTCTGGACAATTGACATAGCGCCTTCTCGCGCTCTACTTCCAATGGTCGCGGGTTCAATTCCTCTCACGGTACAAACATTTGTATGCATGGATATGACTGTTTGTATCGGTTTGGGTGTTTTCTTTGTATGTATGTATTAAAGAAATAGCTAAGTATTTCTGTCAGTTATCTTCATCATCTATGCTTAGTTTGGGACTAGATGGCGTTGTGTGAATCGTCCAAGTATATTGTATTATATATTATATTATACATATATTATACACACAAAAAACTGAAGTACATTTCAGAGTTGATATACTGTCAGCTAAGATTTAGAAATTCGAAACAGTGTGAATAAACCTACGCAGTGCACAGGGCGAACAAAAGGTTTAAATTAATCGTGTTATTATGTACAGACAGACTAAAAAGTGTTTTAAAAATAATATTATGGCACTTTTACATAAGTTTTATCCATGCCCAGATGGTGTAAAAGCATCGTTAACAGATTTTTTTTATACTACGTAGGTGACAAACAAGCAACCTGGCTATCTGATGATAAACGGTTACCTTAGCCTATGGCCGTCTGAAACACCAGGGGTGCCACGTGTCTAAAACACCAGGGGTGTCACGTACGCGCTGCCGACGCCTAAGAAATCTTATTATACACTTCTAGAAAAACCCCATGCTGTAGTCTTTCGAGAAATCCTCGGCAGGTAGCTCATTTCACAGTCTAAGTGTATGGGGGAGGAAGCTCCTCTGAAACCGTACTGTCCGAGACCACTTAGGTCCCAGCGTGTGGGGATGAATTAGAGATGGTAAGCGGTGCGATGGTAAAAGGTAGCCGTGGGCATCATGTCAAACAATTCATCAGTTTTCAAAATCAAACAGTACATCATCGTACAGGTAATACTCGACATAACGATTTGATGGGTACGGTTTTTTTATGGATTATAATGAAATGATGAACCCGCCTGCGCTTACGGCGGAGCACCAGTGGAGGATGATAAAATATCAAACTATATAAAATAAGATATCAAATATTCGTCTCCAGATTCTTATAGGTACTTTCCTCTCCGCCTGTATCTTCCATATAAGCAAAAACCATGGGAACTCAATCCCTAAGACGTATAACAGCAAATATACGCTCTCATTATCCAACAATGTGATAAAAGGACAATAATGTGTTTCACAATGCTACTCGAATAGCAAATAGGCGAGTCGACTCGACCTTTTGTCGTCCGAATGGCGCGATTAAAACGTTGATAACATCATTTTTATAAGTCGGTTTGAATGGGCTAAAGTTGATAGGTTTAATATGTTACAAGCTAATGGGGTTATGAATGTTATATATACCATGTAATAAACATACTAATGTCTTTTGTTATTTTTAATTCTTAATAAATGGAATGATTTATGTAATCCAACATTATCATTTCAAAACCGTTCTTTATTAAGAAGTTTACGTTTTCTTAATAAACACGGCAAAAGTATATCTGTCTTACTTAATTAATTAACATTAATTTGTTTGATTATCTTATCATTAGTATGTGTGAGACTACAAATATTAAGTTTGATAACCTGACCACCTAATACGCAAACGGATTCATATGTAATTTACTTTGAAAAAAAAATAAATATATTAAATAATATTTAATTGGCTATTATAAATAAGAAAATAATATTTAATACATAAACTTATAATTGCCGTTTCCTGGAAAAATAATATGATAAACATTGAAGGCAATAAACATTGTTTTAATTATTAATTTATTTTTGTTTACAATACAACAAAGACAATTTAATTTAATTGTATGTTGTAAACTTAAAAGAAACTTTACATAAACAGCTTATGAACTGAATTAATATAACACAATAAACGTAATATAGAATAGAATTTAAATTATAAAACAATAATAAAGAAAAGACATGAATCTATTTAGAATATTTTAAAATAAAGCCTTAAAAGTTAGTCTTTTATTATTTACCTTTTTGTAAATTGCAAATTTATAAAATTTGAATAGATTTACGCAAATAGATTATATTAAAATTCCTTTTCATATTTTGTATTTTTTTAACTTTTAAAGTTGGGAAACGAAAAGATAAAACGAAACCCTGGTACAAGAATTTTTTATAGTTTAGGGGACATATAAGCATGAGATCAGGTGAGAACTAAAGAGCCGTTGCCCACTATACCAGAGGAACTGCAAGTGCCAGCCTTTTAAGTAGGAATAAGTTCTTTGCTTCAATATTGAAATTGAATCAGTTCTAAAATACCATTGGTGTAAGGTGAATCTACATTGTGGTTATATATGGCAACACAGTGGAAATACCGAGCAGTTCGCGGGACTTGTGTGAAGATTTAAGAGGTCCCTTGCCCCACGTACGTCAACACTCACCTTTACCGCTCGTGTTTCTCTCCCTGCCCAGCCAAATCTGGTATGAGGCTGCAAGTGCTGATTAGATACACTTTCTAGTATAGAAATTACAGACTTCTAGACTGGCAGATCTTTTAGTAGATTGTAGAGAGATTTAGCTGGTATACCTCTCGCTCCCACTTCAATCGCATATGAATTAAACACAACCATTTTACGTTAATTCCTTACATGGTTTAATTTTATTAAAATAGTTTGAATTCCGTGTAGTGCAGCTAGTGCAGCTTTAGACACGCACTCAAAAGCAGATAGATATTTTGGACTTGTTTTTCTTAAACTACGCATTACAATAGGTAGCTCTGTAAACCAGGTTTTGATTCTTAATCCCGCGCGTCAAACATAATCGCAAGCGCCGTTTGACTTAATCAGGCATAAGTTTGCGATCCGGGATAAAGCCCATTCAATCCCGGTCACGCGGGTTTCCCGGGCCGGACATAGGACTAATGTCGCGGCTGGCCGGACAAA